GTGGATCGTATATCGGAGCGTCTCAATGAGCCCAGGGCTCCCGTCAATTGCGCCCCGAGCAGCGATGACGTGCGGGAGGGTCTGACGTCACTGGGTAAGTGCAAGCCATCGGGGCGATCACCTTGCGCAGGTCGGCCTCAGCAGAAATGGCCAAGTTTTGCGTTCGCGTCCAGCCTGACGCCGTGTTCCAATGACGCCGGTCTGAAATGACGCAATCTGCCGCCGTGGTCGCATGCGCGACGTCTATGTCCCTGCTGTGACGACGGTATTTCGCCGGGCATGGGGCTGGCGGTTTAACAGGTCGGCTTGCGAATTGATGACTTCATCGGCCATTGGAACGGTTCTCATGGCGCGGTAAATCTGTGCCGGTGCAGGCCGATTGCATCGGAAGTTGATGGAAACCCGCGATTACTTTAGACTGCAATTTGGGTCGTGCCACCAGTGCCATGGAAAAAAAATAGCGAATTCTTACCGAGCTCCGTCTGGATAAGTGGATGCGTCGTAGTTCGTTGTCAGCATAGTGCTCTGATCATTACGTAAGAAATAAATCATTAACAAGCAAGTTCGACATACACCGCGTAGCTTTGAAGGAACACGTTTTCAGTAGTGGGAAAAAGCAATTAAGCTGATAGCCATCACACGTACAGTGCACAGCCCGGGCATGCGAGCGTTCGTGTTGACGTGAGGGAGGAGACATTAAATGCTGTTGACTGCATTTGTCGGCCCGCTGCGCTACCCGATGTCTTCCTCTGCGCACAGGAGTGAGTGACGCCGTCGACGCTTGAGGCTGATCCCGTGTCGCCGAATGTGCCCTCAGGCGAGCGGCTCGGCCTCCTGGAGAGATCAGTGCAGGCCGTGTCGAACAGCATGAACTCGCAGCTGGACCGGCTGCACTCCCAGCTGGACGCCCTGCTGGAGAGGAACGTCCAGCTGAACACCAGGTGGGCTGCAGCGAGAGGAAAAGCTACTCGCCTGTCTGGACTGATGCGCGGCAACGTGTGGACTGCACAGTCCGTTCACGGCCGTGGGGTCTGGGTCACGCCGTGGCAGCCAGCTCCTGATTGGTTTTGAACCACAGGGGAAGCTCGCTCGGTTGCGGTGGAGATTGCTTGCTGCAGGGCGGATGGTTATGCTGAGGACTTGTCCGGTGTACGGTTGTTTGAAATGGTGAGCTGTAGAACTCAGAATTCAAAACGAGTTGAGACTGTTGTTCCAGACACAACTTGGTTGCCAAAGTATTTCCAACTGTGCGGTACTTTGTCCGGTATCTGAGCCGCTTGACGTTTAGGAATCGACGGCTTGCTTAAAGGCTACAGCACAGAGTCCTCCGGACATACTTTCACTTTTGGGGGAGCTCAGTTGTCTTTGATAGGCGATCAAGCCTGCTTGAAGCCCAACCTAAAGCAGAAGCTTCGCCACCATTGCTGATACGGTGAGACCCATACATTCTCATTGCGGTATTATGCGATGCTGCCTCTCCACCACCGAAAGGTGCACTGCCAGCGGCGGTAAAAGTGTATTTTTTTATCGCCGACTGAATTTCTGCGGACAAATTTGTCGCCAACAGCGTAACACGATACTATTTGACATAAAATGACTATGAAGTTCATGCTCAATAGTGTTATCTGAAAGCGGAGGTTCATGGAAAGCCTCTTTCATCCCTTCAACTTTCAATAACATGCATCACAACCGAAACGTTCATGTATACAATAACATTCAACCAATGCCAGGATAATTGCTGCTGCGAAGAATGCACACACCGGCCCTAGACAATGGGAAAGCCCAATTAAAAAAGCAGTCTTCTTCCACCCTCGGGATTTGCGGAGACCTCACGTATAAGCTTAATCTAAAGCTGGATTTGCTATCCTGGAACGCCTAAAGAGATGGCGAAGGACTTCGACAGCCAGGGGAGCTGGGCACATGGCAGAAATCCAGCCGGTGACAGGCAGTGCTGGGGAAGGATGCCCAAAGTGCAGGCCTTCCCGAGGCCATGTCCCCTTATAGAACCACGCGTGCGCATCCAAGCCTCAGCCTATCATCATCATAACTTCCGCCATACCTCAGGCATGCTCCAGGCCTGGTGCGGCATGTGCTGCCTGGCAGGCGCCTTTCGCTGCGCTACAGCAATTGATTTATCGAGGCTTTAACTGGGATTCTGGGCTGTCTGGAAAGGAAGGAACAATATATTGGGTTTCTGATTAGGCTCGGATTGAGGTGAACGCGACTGTGCAGATGTTAGACAAAAGGCAGTGGGGGTGTGTTAGAAGGATGCATCGTAGTCGCGGAAAAATGGGACCACAATCACAAAGCTGTTTGAAGGAAACAAGTGCTAGTTGCTTCATATCCTTGCCACGCAGAGCAGATTACAGTTATTTACGGCTGCAGACCAACTTTAGAAGACCGTTGCATGCTCTGCCGAACCGAGGCTAGCAGAAGTTCTATGCTCAAGCTTAATGCTTTTCCGTCGTTTGAACAGTGAAATGTCACGCGTTTTCAAAAACATGACACAAACCAACTGTTGGCGATCCTAGCCGTCTTGATTACCCTTTCCATCCAGGAGCTCAACAGTTCGTTCGTTGGTTTGAACGCACCGAAGGCGCAAAATTTTTCTGAACTCATACGTCTGGTCTTATCTGAAATATAGCCTGAAGATGCTTTTTTCAAGCTCACGCAGATAAAGCCTCACGCAAATAAACAAATTCGCGGCTGAGCATGGGCATGCACTGCCTCTTTGAGCCGCACGTCTTTATGTTTTCCGCGCAGGTGTCCGAAGGTTTAACTTAATAAGTAATATGGGCAGCTCCAGTTTTAACTGTATTTTGATCTTAAACCTTTCCAAGAGGTCCTTAGTGGGAGCCCTACCTGAATGCGCTCGAATTTTAGTAGCCGATCCGGAACCCCAGGCCTTCGGCACACTTCCACGCAAGTGGGGACTCCTTAACAGTGTCACGTATATGTTGAACCGCCTTTGAAAGAAACACGCGCTCCATGGTAACTAGGTGATATTTGACAGGGGAAATGGGCCCTGTGCAGCTGAAAGAACCTCGGGTATCCAGGTCTTTATCCGAACTTAAAGGGCTCTAAGTTCCTAATATGATCCTAAGCGGACCGTGGGCCCTGAGAACTCAGAGGCCATCTCAGTGGTCAAAGCGCTCTTCAGTGGGCCGAGTGCGGTCCCTCGGTAGCCTGACAACCTTCTGAGCTTTTCTCGATCCCCAAAAAGCAGGTGTCCAAAAGGGTCGTTGAGGCGCAGAGATATGCTCTGGGACCAAATGGGCCACTGAGCGGCCAGTGGACCACCAGCAACTAATGGAACACTTCGAGGGTCGGAATGGCACACAACTCCTTCGTGGCCAGTGGGTCTGGGCGACCAGTTAAGTCCCTATCTGCAGTGAGAGACTTCACCAACAAGAGGCTTTTTAGTGGCCGGAGGGGCTCCTCTGCGGCCAGAAGGGCCGTGATCAGCTAAATCGCCTCGATAGCGACCAGGGTGGCCCTGAGGACAAACATGGTTAGTGCGGCCCATGAACGGATGTTGCCATCAATGCTTTACGTCGCGCTGAGCTTCTGAGAGTTCATGTTGAAAGGCGTCACCTGCGTCTTACTCGTACAAAAAGGGTGATCACAGGGAAAAATCGAGCCCTGAACCTCTCGTTTCTTCGGCGCACATCCTAACAGGCGCTCAGGTGGGGGTCAAATTGACCCCCACCAAAGGTTTTTTCCGGACTGGTTTCCGAATGGCGTGGCGCGGTCGCGCCAAATTTTACATAGCTATAGACAGTTGAACAGCCGATCGTGTGGTATCAACATATCAAATGTACCTTGTAAGGTCGCTGATTTACGGCAGATCAAAATCAGACCATGGATTCTGCGAAGTCTACTTCAAGGGAATTGTTCGATCTGATGGAACAACGGATTGTTAGACGGAGCCGTGCATCTCTGAGATACTTTCTTAGGCAACATAGCAATTGAACTACCGAATTTCGTTGACCTAGGGTCAGGTATGAAGTTGAGACCAAGGCCAAAACCAGTTTTATTGCTCTAGGGCTTGCTGTATTGAGTGGATTCTGGTGCTTATTTCGAATTGATTGATAACATAAACTGCATTAGTTACGTTCCACGGACTTCTTGAAGATCCGAATAGGTCACTGACCTAAGATGACCTAAGTCAACATGTCATTTTTAGGAACATACTGCCAAGCGTAATCTTTGTCACTTATTCAAATGCAAACCTCAAAGCAGTCTTAAATTATTTTGGTCAACATGACCTTTGAAAGGCTTAACAAGGTCACTGACCTTAAATGAGCATGTGACCTTTTCCTTAGAACACGTGCATAGATTCTGGGGATGCTCTGAAGATTACCTGGGGTTTCACCTTGTTTGACGTTATTTGACTCGAAGTTCATGACCTAGAAACTTCAAGCTTTGACCTAAGTGAGTTCACTTACAGGCCAATACACCCTGTAAATTTGGTGCTTCTAGCTCTCTTAGCTTCCTGAGGTCCCAGTGGGGTCAAATTCGTCCCCCCCTCCCCCCCCACCCGAGCGAAGGGTATCCAAACGGCCACCCGAGCGCGTGTTAACCGCCACACTAAGACGGTTCAAGACAGCCTGAGTAATGCCGAGGTTGTTCTGTGTGCTGAAGCGAAGCTTAAATCACAGACAAAGTAGCTATTAAGTCCCTGAAGTGGTGCGAGTGCCCACGATAGCTAGGTGAGGCAAACTTTTTCGCAACAGGGGCCTCAGGGGTGACCAAACGGGACCTAGTAAGACGGCAGAGAATAGGCTGTACTCATTCAGCACGATAATTTGTACTGCACACAGCAAAAAAAAACCTTCTGTACACGTCCACCAAGTCCCAGGTTTTGCGTTTACGGGGCCGGGGAAAAATGGACACCCCGCCCCTCCTCCATACCGCACAGGAACTCTTGCCATCACCTCTGTCGTGGCTGGATGGTTTTGTTGGCTAAGCCAGTGGGGACTCTGAGCAGCCAAAAAACAAATGTCAGTGACTGGAAAATTTCTTTGGGGCGGCTAAAATGGTCGTTCAGCGTTTACACAGACCCCTGAAGAGTCCCTGAGGTCTCCATGCGGTGAGAGGAGCACTAAACTGGCAGGCAGCCTTGAGCATTTACTGAACTCTTGAGTGTCCAGACTGCCTCGACAGGTCTTGGAAGGGGCCTTCCAGAGGTCGAAAGGGGCCTTGAGCAATTAAGAAGGCCTCAAGTATCAAAAAGGTTTTGAAGATAACTAAATTGCTCTGGCGACGGAGCCCTCACTAGCCAGATGAGTGCTTAGGTGACCAAAAGGGCTCAATGCAATCAACTCAGGTCAGGTCAGGTTTCCCCAGTGGGCTGTTATTACGACAGGTCTTTATGCTGTCATTCTAAAAATTCATATCACTCAGCGGCTGCCGTTAACAACGAAATTGCATTGAAGTCTTTTAATAATTTTATATCAGCCTGCTTGCTCTTTCTGAACAGCATATGAACCGTTGTCATGATAAAGAAAGCTGATGCCCCCTCCCCCCCCTCCCACCTCCCCCCCCCCTAAGAGGTTTTCTGAGGATGCAGGTCCAGCACGTCGTGCAGTCGCGCCCGAATGTTTGGTAGTCTGTGGACAATTGTGCGTGTTTTGGCAACAAAAACGGGTTTCCAGCATCTTTAGGTTCTTAGAAGCGACAGTTTCTAGGGGCACTCCGCGACAATCTACTGCCAGTGAGGGCTACAGGCGCCAATCGATGCTTCTGCGGAAAGCGCGGAGGTCCGACACTGTTATATGAACAGAGCCCAACACTTTGAATGAAGGCCTCAAACAGATGCAACTACATACCAATGCACTCAATATCACACAAGGAGTGCACTTCTTTATATGCCATATCGTTATGCGGCATGGTCTTGTACATATGGTCTTGAGAAGGCTGAGATAGTATATTTTTTAAA